ACATATAATTCAAATTATAATAACCCATATGCATTATCTTGCATTATTTATAATTAAAACCCATCTGTCATTTATTTGCCCAACTCACTAAATGATCTAAATCTTTTTGTAAATTAGTAGCATCCTCTTCACAGCTAGAAACACCCAAGACCTTAATATTATCTGCAAATTTAAGTAATTTATTGACCATTCCTTCATCTTTGTCATTGGTGAAAATCAAAAAGAGCAAAGGGCCTAAGACTGAGCCCTGAGGTAACCCACTTGTGACATTAATACATTTTGACTGAACTCAACTTGCTAAAACTTATCCCCTACACCTACAGAGATAATTTTTTTACAAGCATTTTATGTGGCACCTTGTCAAATTCTTTCTGAAAATCCAGATACACCAAATCTACACCATTCCCCTCATCTACATAAGTTGTAACTTTTCAAAGAATGTCAAAAGATTTGTAAGACAAGATTTTTTCTTAATGAAACCACGTTGACTATCCAATGAAATTCTAAACTTTGTTAAATGATTTTACAAAGCATCTTTTATCAGACTTTCCAAAACTTTTTCCAGAACTGATGTAAGACTAATGGTTCTATAATTACTAGGACAATTTTTATCACCTTCCTTGAAAAGTTACATTAGTTAACTTCCAATCCTCTGGCACCTGCCCTCTATTCAAGGACTGATAAAAATAGTAGCAAGTGGCTCACATATCCAATCGTTAACCTCCTTCAATACTCTTGGGGAAGCCTTATCATTTTTTAAACTTACCAATTTTTTCTTAAGCAGCTCAGAATTAATGCAGTCATCTTGTTCGGTTTTTTTTTCATCTATCAGCTGTTCAAGATGTGGAACACTACTTAAATCGTTGTTAATAAAAACTGAAGACACAACAAAATTCAATAATCCAGCCATCTCAGGCTCGTCAGATATGAGCTTTTCTTTATCATCCCATTCCTAACATTTTGTTTAACCTTAATGTATTTAAAGAAATCTTTACTGTTAATTTTTACATTTTCAGCCAACCTTTTCTCATATATTATTTTTGATGTCCCAATTTCCTGTTTCACCAACTTTCTTGATCTTCTACATCTCCTGTCATACCAATCAATTTAAATTTCTTAAATTTATGATGCTTTTCTTTAATTTTATCCCTTAAACTCTTTGTGAGCCAAGATGTTTTTTTTTACTTGTAGCTACGCTTTTCTTTCTATAAGAAATATGTTTACCTGGAATATTGAAAAATTTTCCACATCTGATCAGTGTCTCTAAATAACTCAGCTGCTTAATTCACAACAGATAATTCTTGTCGCATCCCTTCAAAATTTGCTTTTATGAAATTTGTAACCAAATATTATTCCTTATCTCCATAAATAAGTGTCAAGGTCATTACATTGAGAACATGGAAAGAGACAAAACTAGCCAGAAGGCAAATTGAAGTTTACTTATCAACAACATAAATACGTATAGTTTAAGAACAAGGGACCTGTTGGTATATCTAGGTCATCTCATACACTAATCTAGACTATAAAAAAAAATTAAACACTCAAAATATTCATCAAGTCTTCTTTAAACTCCCTTAAATAGGTAAAATAGGCTAATAGGTCTATAATTACTTGAACAATTTCCATCACTTCTCTTGAAAAAGAGGAGTAACGTTAGCCAACTTCCAATCTTCTGGCACCTACTCACTATTCAAGGACTTAAGAAAAACAGTAAGAAATGGACCACATATCTAATCTTTAACTTCATACAGAAACCCTTGGGAAAATATTGCCTGACCAAGGAGCTTTAGCATTCTTTAAACTTCCAAATTTATTTCTTTACAAGCTCAGAATTAATGTGATCATTTTGTTGGATCTTGTTTCCATGTGATGGTGGAATCAACTTGTACTTTTGAAAACTTAAGTTATATATGGAACATTTGAATGTAAATCAATTCAAAGCTTGTAATAATTTATTACTGAAGTGTGGTATCTCAGTATAGTAAGCAAAGGTGAAGTACACAAAAATGGGTTATGGTGAAAGGAAAGATTAAACTCTCCACTTGTCATGTTTTACCTATGAAGGTAGCCAAGATAGGTAATATAAAATGTGGGGAGAAAAACGTGTTTACAACTGAAATTTTTAAAAAAAAGGAGTTGTTTTTTGAATTTTTCAATTTATAACTGCATAAATTTATTTTTTAAAGCTACTAACTCTTTATTCATATATTACATGTCAAAAATTAACATGGTTAGTCAAGGCCTTAAACATAATTGCAAAAAAATATTAACATGGAAACTATCGAAATGTATATATTATTATAGATATAATCTGTTGATAGTGTGAGAGGTTGTGCCACCAATCTTGTAGTACATATATGTAAATCATGGCCTAACGTTAAATACTACCTAAATCTCTAAAAAGAACGATCCATTTAAATGTTAACTTTCACATTCATAATGCAGGCTCAAACTATTCCATATAGGTCTATAGTAGTCCAAAGTATCAGCAAACTACAAAATATACAAAACTATTCTGAAACAATTTTTCACCTAAACTTGAAACAAAAATTATATATCTAGTTTCCAGAGTTTAATTACATCAACTCTTAAAAATACAATTATTATTGCCAATACCACCCTCACCCTTACTAACACACGAAAAAACCATTTCCAAAAATAAAAAAAAAACCTCAAAGTCAAATATAAAAATGACATCAAAACTCTGAAATTGGCTAAATCTAGCATAATCTAATTTTAAACCATTACTATATGTAGACTTTATGACAGGTAAACTTGGTGCAACGTAGTGAATAAAATAAACAAAAATTGACTATGTACAACCGATAAAACCTTATGTGAAGTTTAAGGAAACAGTAATAGTAATACTTACCTAGTATTATCTATTGTTAGACTATTAGTATTACTACTACAGTTATTACTCTCAATAGCATTACTATTACAACAATACAAGTTAGTACACTTTCTCCTCACTAACACCAACAGCTTTTCTGAATTATATGACGAGAAATTAGTTATCAATAAGTAATTTGGTTTTGAATAACTTACTTGCTTACATGTATACTATTATTGAGTATTAGTATTGCTTTGAATTTATACACAGCGTAATTTAAATCTAAAATGTAATTTGTATTACAACTTACAAGTTGTATATACATGAAATGAAATAGCTATTTCTAAGTTTAATCCACTACCAGTATAAAATTACCACCAGATGGCAGTTGGTTTGAAACTTAAAAAAAAACAACAGCACTATTTTGGAAATGACAGAAAGTATACAAGAAATAAATCGTCTGTATGCTTGGTTTGTGATGAATTATTATTCGACAATACAATGTCACCAAGGTTAATCTTGTGAATATGTTACAGTTATTTCCGAGGAATAATATATGAATAGCGAGAGACTGTTAATTAAACGATGCATAGATGTTTTCTGTAGAAACTCCCACAATAAAAAACTTAAGGCAACAAAGAGCTCTACATTCACATTCCAAGACAATCCAGAGAATACCGATTCACTACCCGACACAAAACACCGAAGTCAGATGCTAGGCTGAAAATATCTACTGGTGCAGTTAAAAAGACAAAACGCAAAGCTATGAGAGTAACGAAAAATCAGCAGTAAAATATTTTCACACCTCCAGTCATAACTCGCAATTACAACACTTACATTCAGACATATACATGTCATATTGCGATTATTACTCGACGCTAAATGAACTGAAATTGAACAATGTAATTTTATATCAAATATTAACACACGACTTAATATTTACTTGATACTTTTCTATTAATTTTGCTTCAAAAAAGCACTGTTTTTCAAGTTTCAAAAAATTGATATTTTCGCCGAAAATTACTTCGTTTTTTGCTAAAATTTTGAAAAAAATTATTTTTCTTCATATTTCAAAACAAAGATGCCCTTGATGGGCACTATTC